AACCTGTACAAACTTTCCATCATCCTTGTTGGTATAACCGACAGTTCTCTTTTCTTTGCAATTTTTTAAAATATATTTTAATTACTTTTACTTAATTTACTTTATAATTTTTTCTACGATGAAACAATGTGATTCACATCATGAATTTCCCGTTATCTTAAATTATTTTAAATGAAATAAAATTCATTTATCAATCAATACAAATGGATAGATACTAAACTATGAAAGTTTAGAATAAAATAGACGTATTATAAAAATAAATAATAAAATAAATCTTAGTTGTTCTCTCTTTTTAAATAAAACATCTAAAATGACTAAAATACTTTCAATCATTTTTTATTTTTGCTAAGGTATATTTCGAAAGAATATCCGAGTATATGTTGCTTTTTTACATTACATGTATTAATAAACATAATACGTAATCTTAGAAGAAAAAATATTTGAAAAAAGGATAGAAAGGTATAAAAATAAAATGACACACCTAGTTATTATAACCATTTTTCTGCTATTTTTATAAACAATCATCTATTATTATCATTTTAATTTCTTATCTTACTTGTTTTAATCTGTACATAGAAAAAGAACAGTTTTAATAAAGATAAAAGATTTAGCTAGCTACAAATATAAAAATAATTTTATCGAATCATCAAAATAATTATGTAGAAAAATCAAGCATAAACAATACCGCAAACAAAATCTTGACATTTTAGTAACTCGCTTGAGCATTCTAATTATTTTGATAGTCCAATAAAATTATTTCCAAATTCCTCTCTCTCTATATGGTATTTAGTTAAATTTTTTAATTCTTTAGCGTAAAATTATTCTTATCGTGTATTATTTATTCTTGCAACATACTTGCATTTGCCAGTTTGCTTTATAAATTTCACACAACTGATGTCTTTTGTTATTAGTGTTCTATTTTGTACACGGAAACAAAACATGGTAATAAATGACATATGGATAAAATGGACTCTGTTTTATATGCACGAAAAATTGACAAGTAACTGATATTCAGAGTTAAATATTTATTATATTCTAGCCTGTTTGTTTTAAGGCAATGGATCTGTGAGATATTTTATTTATTCGTAATATTCTCACACAAATAAATTTTATGTATATTTGAATATTCATAAATCCATTACCTTAATACAAAATAAATTTAATTTATCACTCACCGATATGACGTGCAACAGCGGAGTAATCTGCGCCGTTAATTACGACGAAACTAACGTACAAACATAACAGCAAAATTGCAGCAGCGGTCAAAATAAATATATTGTATTTAAAAAATAACTGTGCACTTTAAATTTCTTATTCTTCTTTTAAGTACATTTATTTAAATAAATAATTATATTTATTTTCCAAAAAGAGAGAATTTTCTCTTTCTTTTTAAGTATAAATTTTTAAGTATAATATTTATAGATTTAGAAGCTACGCGGGGTTATTTCCGTATCTTAATACATCATTAAATATCAATTGCAGTTCACTTTATCAAGACGAGAAGCACCTTACCAGATTGTTTTTGCCAGAATGAGGGACGTTACTTCATAAAAGTAACGCGTTACCGTTACAGTTACTTTTTGTAAAAAGTAACTTGTTACCGTTATCATTACTTAGAAAGTATAAGAATTCATTGCTTCTTTTGTTACTTTTTTGTAACGTTGAAGTAAGTTAATTAGTTTGTTACTTTAAAATTATATTATCTAATAATCAATATATTGTAAATAATATTAAAAGACTTGAAGTTTTAAGCTAGTCATCACTATTTACCCTAATAAATTCTTCTTTTTATATTTCAATTTTGTAATTTATGCTTCTCTTTAGGAAATTAAATTGTAATTTACAAATGCACAAACATTGTTTTTAATTATTAATGTTGTTATTAAAAATACGTTTCAATATTCATCACTAAATATTGAAAATTTACAGTTTACGTTATATACACGTGTATATACTACAGATTTTCAATGTTGGCAGTGACTGTCGGACTGCAACCTAAGATATGAAGTACAAAACATTTTTCGATATTTAAATTTTTATTACAAAATATTTTTAGTTAATTAAAAATAATGCGATCTATTTTAAAAAGTGTGTGTGTGTTATAAAGATAATAAGAGTAAATATAAAAGACAATAAAAGTAACGGCTAAATTTATTACAATGGTAATGTTACGTAATGCTTTACTTCCCAGCTCTGTTTTTCGCCCTGATAAATTGAATTGCATGCTTACAAAACGTTGGCATTTAACAATATATTAAGATACAGAGATAATCCGCGTAACATTAAAAACAAAATACCCATGAAAGCCTCCAAAAAATTTATAAATTTAATAATAAATTACTATTTAATAATAAAAGCTTTTCTTTCTAAGCCTTATACATTTTGAATCATCTAAAGAAACAATCCAATTAAAAGGAAATTGATTAATTCTGTACAAGAAATAATTTATAACTAATTAATTATTTATTCCGAGATTGTCGTCTCCCGATGTCCCTCCTAGACTTCCTCTCAGATTGATAGGAATTTTTCCACTCGCACAATACACGCAAAAACGTCGGTAATTATACAATTGCGCGCCAACTTATTGTCAAAATGCTATTATCGCACGGCACTATTGAAGTTAAAATTTACGATAAAATATCGCTTTGCCACTACTTGTTTATTCGAGTATAAAGCGCACGAATGATAGAGCGGCACGACCTTGTGTACGCGAGGCTGTGACGGCTGTAAGTCGGAAAACAAACACGAAGGCCGCGCGCTGACCGAATTGTTTCTGCCCTGGAAATATTTGGATATTTAAAATACCTTATATGTATATGAAAAACTCTCTCTCTGAATTTATTTAAAATATATTCTAACCTGTATAAAATAAATTGAATTCCATTATGACTTCTATGTTGTATATTAAATATAACGTTTATTTGAAAATATTGTATTATTTTACAGATTTAAATCTATATATTTATTACTATTATTTTATGCCAAATATTTACGTACCGAGAATAGTGAAATTGTGTGACTTTAATAAATTAAAAAGGAATCTGCATAATATATATGTCATACCTATATAATATAACTTTTTTGTACAATAGCTATGTAGTTTGTTTAATCGATTTTAAGATGTTTATTCGAATTAAGACGTCCATTTAAGTTTGCTCGAAATACAGAATTGGATTCACTAATTACATTCACTAAGTACATACACATCGTTAATTCTATGAGTATCATAGTAAATGAACCTCATTTACTCACATCGGGTTGGGATTACATTATGTCTTTATTCGCGCGACGGAGTTACAACTTCCGATTGTCGGTGCCCACGCCGCTTAATAAAACGTCACTTATACGACTATTTGACACAGTACCACGAGCTATGAGATTTAATGTAGATACTTTGGACACGCTCCTCCCAAGAGTCGAATTAATAAGGAATATGAGCGAGTTTGTTACAGTGTGTTCTAAAATATGGATGATAAAACAGAACATAGTTTTATGAGGCAAAGTGAAAAAGTTATCGTTATGTTTACTCGAGTAATTTTAGCAGTTGGAGAATGACGAATAGAAAGTGAATGACTAAAAAAGAATGTTTCTATGTTATCAGTTATTTTAAATTATAAATTTGCATGAGATGGTAAAATTTTAATTTTATAATCGTAAAATCTCACAGTAAAAAAAAAGTAAGATTACATTATACTTTCAAATTTTCTTGAGTAATTTAAATTATATCTGATAAATATTTGATATAATCGGATCTGGAAATGTTTAAAATGTTAAGTTTTTATTTTATATTTGACTTGTTAATTTTATGAGTTAATTATACTAAACTGACATTGCTGACCAACTTCTTCAGCCTTCTAATTTGAAACATACTACTGCATGAAACAAACTTCAATACAAGATTCGTTTCATGTAGCCATTTCGTGTATGTTTCAAATATAATCGATATGTCATAAACGATAAAAAGATTTATTTAATTAGGATATGCGTACTGTCTCTGTACATATTAGTGATGAATTGATAATTGTACTTTCTACCTTTACTTTCTATAATTAAACCGTAAAGTATACGTTCAGTACGAACGATACCTGCACGCTATCAGCAAGCGTGTTCGTGCAGCAAACGAAGCGTTGAATAGCGGAATGTACTAGCCTACATATTATGGAAACTGAGTAATTGCAATCGGATTTAGCGCAACTTTGTTTCATCTACACCATCGAATTAAAATTGTTTTCGTGAAATCTGAAATATTGTATATGGTATTTTGCGTTATGTAAAGTCCTTACAACTTAAAGGCGCCATGCAATCTCTACATGTATAAAAAAATAATTGACTTTCGTAAGAAGTTTTCCGTATTTTTTTTTTTTTTTTTTAGAACATTAGATTCGAACAGTATTAAACTATTTTAGCATGCACTCAGGCGAATAACAAAAAAAATTGCTCAAAGATCTGCACATCCGATCATCCTTAGTCGACTATACTGTATCCTCGCGCAATATTGTTAACGCAGGATGAAAACTTTTAATAAAGCTCTCGCGCTGCATTGCGAACTCCACTTTTATGTTATACTCCCTAAGGTGAACAGGCTCGTAAACGAGGTCGTCTTCACAATGTTGAAAATTGTATGTCTGGGCGTATACTGCATCCGTTCCCAAGCTCTTGATCGATACTTTTCCTTGAATATCAATTGGCAATATACTACTGACATAAGATATTTATACATATATAGTCACACCTCTCTTTTATAACTTTTATTTGCATATTTATTATAAATTGTTACAAATATTCCATACTTCAATACGTTAATGAAACTGACTCTAAATGAATATTATAAAACAAGAGAGAGAGAGAGAGAGAGAGAGAGAGAGAGAGAGAGAGAGAGAGAGATATGAGAGGAGAGAGAGAGAGAGAGCAAATTATGTCATGGTTAATTTCTATTTATTAACTTTATATTTTTATTGCAATATGCAGTTTTGAAAGGATATTTTGTTTTCTTGTTGCAGATCGAGTGAGAAGATTTTTGACAGTCAGAAATGATGCGAAGAAAAACGTTTACTTTCGTATTAGGAATATGCATAGGTAAGTTGCAAAAAAAAAAACATTTAAATTCTCTTCTTCATTTTTTTTCACAATTCTTTTATAATTTACTAAAAATATGGAATAAATTTTAACGCGTTGCTCTGCGTTACTTCAAAAAGAAAGAGAAATCGACGAAGGGAAGCCGGTATTTTATGACATTACGTTATTCCTGCATTACGTACACGAATTTTATTTTGAGTATCACGCATACAGCAGTATTGCCGTCAAAGAGAATGGACTAGCATCTCTCAGCTGCATCCTGTTGCATTGTGAACTCGTGATGTAAAGCTTGCCAATCGAGGTGACTGCACCAAGTACTGTTAGGTCTGCTGCATGCTCGCAGAGTTAACTGTAACTTATCAACAAAATTTTCCATTCCACCTCGATCGTCATCTTTCAGTTTATAAATAATGGACGACTGCGTTTTCTGATCTAAATTTGTCCTTTCAAATACGAATGAAACTTTGTTGAATATTTAATTAAGCTGTCTGAGATAAATATTGTAAGAAATATCCGGATTTTAGATATTAAATATCCTGTACATATATCTATAATTTGCATATAAAACACATTTGCACTTTTTTACAAAAATCATTAAAGTCTGAGTTAAAGATAGAATTCTCGCGAATTTAATTAATTAGCTGGAATTAACGTTTGTAAGATAAGTGGCGTCTCGGTGATGCAACGAGTAGCAATGAGGTTGGTAATTATTTTTTAACAATGTTTCCAACGTGGTAGACTAAGTATTTTCCAACAGAAATGAAGAAATTCAAACAATATAGCCTATTATTTTTAATACATTGCAATAAGAAAACAATTACACATCATGTCACTTCATGTACATTAAAATTAATTCTTTTTGATGTACTTAGATATATTGTTGAGCAAAATGCTATGTGATCAGAGAACAATGTGCAAATTCTCAGTAATTACGTTAAAGAAGTTGCGTGTAAACTAACGAGTTAAGAGACATCTATTATTATTAAAAGACTTTGTGCGCTGAATAAATAAATACTTTGCTTACCAGAATCATCTTATTATTACAAGGCGCAAGAAATGTTTAACAAATAATTTTGTATACGATTAAAATTTAATTATTTTAAATGACAGTTCAATTATATAACTTGATAGATGAATCTTTTTTTCATCAGTATCGAGATACGTTTCTACGAATCTTGTTATGTATAAATATTTCACGTTAAACAATATTATATTAGCTATTTTCAGAGATATTTCTCAGTACAAAATTTACACATAAAGAGATATTTTATCATGATAATAAGTTGACAAGATAATGACATTTAAATGTGTACGGAACGCATACTTTATGTCACGTTTTATGCAGAATCTTTATTTTAATTATATATATATATATATAAATTCCAAAATAGATTATTATTTTAATATAAACATAAATTTGCTTACAATACAAATGTTAAGTTTTTCAATTTTTATTTTATTAAATGTTTAATTGTATAATAAAAATTACAAATATGACAACATAATTGTTTTTTGTTTTTTAACGTAACTATTTTTGAAAATTATTAGAAAGTTGAACACACGCGTTTTAAATGTCAAGATATGCAAATCTGGGCAATAAATATATGGCGATACAAACAAGAAGAGAAACACTTTTTTTATCTTCTTTTTTAAATAATCAAGTTCATGGAATCGACACTTGGCCATAAAATCTTTAGTATGCATCGAAAATACATCAGATGAGAGTATCAAGGTAGAAATCAGGTGGAAAATTCTCGCTGCAAATCTGCGCGTCCATAAAATAAATATTTATCTCGACTTTGGCGTTCACGGAGAGGACTAGTCATGTCGTATCGACGTAAATCAGCAAAACACGAGGACACACTCGAAGCCCCTGCATAATTCCGAGGTCTGTTTAATATTCAAACTCATGCTCTCGCCGTGCCGCGGTTGCGCGAGCGCTTTCAGTTTGCAAACCGCGAACTGTATCGTAGAACCTCGTGAATAGTTCCGAAGGAACTCGTCGGTAATTCCATGGACAACCGGTTTTTCGATCCATTAAATGCCTCGTCTACGCACGCCACATTTTTATCGTATCGCACACCTCGATGGAAACCAGTTGTCGATGAGCTCGCGGAACTTCTGTCTTCATGCGTCAAACAAACGCGCTTATTGCATATTATTATCATAATTCACCGTTTTATGTTATCAAATATGCGACTAAGATTATACAGTGTAAGAATAATTAATACATGATACATGAGAACCAATTTTCTGCTAAAAGTTTTCCTACATATATTATAATTAATGAGCGTTTTGAAAGTGTAAATCTCTTTTGAATATAAATCATATTAAACTATCATTTTTTTGAAAATGTTTTTATAAAAATAAACGTAATATATCATATAATTATTTCTATTATATTTCCAATTATAAATTCATATCTGATAAATTTTGAATCATATAGATAATGAAAATATGTGCAAAGTATGTAATAATAAAAGAGCTGTTTTTTTTTTAGAAATTTTTTCCTCGAAATGTACATATTTATAAATTCATGTGATTAATTTTACAAATAAATCACAATAATTATATATAATTAATTGCATATAAAATTTGTAAATAATTTTTATTCGAAAATAATATTTATGTTAACATTTTATTAAAATTAATTTTTTTATTCGTCTTTATTTATTTCTTTATTTAAATGATTATTGAATTTTATGTTGTATTTTATTGAAAACATTAAATTAAAATTTGTTCTAAACAATGTATTACAACGCATCAATTATAATTTGTTATTAGTCACCTTATCAATATTAGCTGATTCTTGTAAATACGAACTATACTATATGTAGCACCTTCACATGAATAACAAAAAGATAACATTAATTGAGCAGTAAAAGTCAGTATTATTTGAATTGTGAAGTAACAGATAATAGATCAATATTGATTGTCAATAACAAATGATAGATTGTCATAAGGTAGTAAAAGTAGTTATAAATCTAAAGATGCACGACATTATTGATAAATCTTGATGATTCTAAAAGTATTGTAATTTTTCTCGTTATTTTTATATTAAAATTTTTAATTCTATAAATTATTTTTATAAATTTAATATCTACAAATTATGCAATGTGACATTGTATAATATATTTGAAGTAAAAAATAATTAATAATACAAACAAAATAATTATTATACCTTTTAAAGAGAAGATGAACATTAATACAAAAGTTATAAAATTAAATTTTGCTATTTCAGGCACTTTGCTGCTATTCTTCGACAATACGGTGGCCGAAGTTACAGAAGCGTCGATTGCATCAGAGAATTCTGAGTCCCAAAAAACGTCGACTCCCCAAGGATCAACGACGATCCTAACGAAAGTCTTCTCGATCCATCACAATCAATCGTTTACAGAAAATGATGGAAAGAATATCGAATCGACGAATCGAAAAGCCCATGACACGGAAAATAGATCGTACGACAGTATCGATAGCGTAAATCAGGATGAAGAAAAAAACATACACGTAAATTCAAACGCGGAAAAAACAAATGACGAATCTGAAAATTCATCGTCGGATGGAAGCAGAAAGCCGAGGTACGGAGAAATTGCTGTTGAAAGCACCGGGAAAAGCACTAGTACGAAAGTCGTCTCCGACGATCTTCTCAGACTTTCCCGAAAGAATGAACTGACTGCGGCGACCGCGAAATCAGCTTTCGATGATTCGAAACAGGACAGTAAAAATCTAGAGAACGTCTCTCTTCAAGAATCCTTGAATCATGAAAAAATATCCGATGCGACCAAAACTATATCTCCAAATGCAAAAGAAACAATTGTCAACGAGAAATTAGTGGAGACATCAGAATCCAAAGAGGTAAGGAAGGAGTCTTCCGTCAAGGATGAAGAGAAGAATAACGTAACTATAGATAAACAAGACATACCGACCATTAAGTCTATCGGGAATTTCTTTTCCACGACCTCGGAATCGACATTTGAAGATGCTGTCAGATCCGACGAAAAGAAAGACAAAATGATAAAACTTGATCATAAGGAAGTGGATACGAAGAAGGATAAAAATACAATTTCAACTGACTTGAAGGAGGAAGTAGAGGATTATGATCGGGAATTAACCACGGTGCGCGGTGAAAAGTCCTTAGAATATAAAAAAAGTGTGAACGATCTAAGAACGACAGCATCCGAAGTGTTCGATCTCGAGAAGACTGATGAGAAGGAACACGAAGAAAGCGTTTCATTAGTTAATGATACGTACGTGAATTTCAATAATTTTTACAAGACTGTGACGGAAAGAGATCTCAAAACTAGCTCGAGAAATCATTCGGTTGACGCGAATGAATCGCGTAAGAAAGATGATCCGAAGAAAGAAGTAGAGATCGTTAAGGACGTGACTGACCCATTAGTACTAAGGATTGTGACTGCGAACGATACTGCGAAGAACGATACTCACATTAATGAACTGAGTAATCAGGAAAGAGCTTATGATAAGAAGAAAGGAGAGACTAGCGCGAAAGATGAAAATACTCCTGAACAAAGCGTAGACTTCTCCATAACTACTTCTAATACAACTACTAAGAGGACAGATAGAATAGAAGAATGGAAATCAATAGGGGAACCTGAGAGTCAGGTGAAGTTACCTGAAACAACTCAAAGTGTGCGACTTGAAGAACGTACATCATCCGTCCCAGAGACTACTCCTAGTCTAGTTCCGCAAGGCAGAACTATCGGATTTTCTGGAGCTAACAAGTTTCCGAATAACGAGGTGAAAACTACAGCCTCAATGAGGACTGATGGGGAAATATTGGTCACTCAGAGTTTGCAAAATAGTACGGAAAAAGTAAATTCAAAACCTTATCCGTACTTAAAATCTAGCAGAGGACCATTCCAGAGGCCGGTGACAGAGGCCAGTTTGAAATTGAAAAAGGAAGACGATGTTACGGAAGAATCTTCTGCTTACGAGAATACGATCGGTAGAGGCGAATCCGAGAAGAAGCTCGTTGTCACAGAACCTTCGGTTGTAATCGAGAATAGCATTCAACAGCACAATTCGAACAAAAAAAACGAGTCTACGAATTCTACGACAAAGAGCCTGTCCTCTTTGAAGCCAGTGACGGCGATCCCGAGTGTTTCAGCTAAAGTTGAACCAATGAACGAAACTTTTCCGGAAGGATTTAACGGCAGCACAAAAGCCACGGAAATAAAACACTCGAAGTCAAACGAGAGTGACACGTCAGGTACGAGAGAGGAGGAGAAAGTGATTGTAGGCAGAGACGAAGGCTACGACGTGACTGGAAATGGAATAACGGAAATAAGCCTGACTCCGGATGGTCAGCAAGTGAAATCACGTTTCAGCGGAACGACGGAATCAGCAACGTTGCGTTCCACGGAAACACATACATCTAAGACGGTGTCTTTAAGTACCGATGTTCAGATGGAACCGGAAGAAGCAATGATGATTCGTTCAACTTTTGTCGTTACTGAATCCACGAGTGTCGTTCCTTTGAACGAGGATGCGACGACAGAAGCAAACAGGTCCAAAACTTTAATGACGGCAGTGGAAGTTAACACTATCGCCACAGTGCTCTCGGAAAATTCTACTAAATCTGCATCGAACGTCACGCTGCGACCTTCTTTGAGTGTTAATCACACTACCGAATCTCCTTCCTTTATCACTTTAAATCCTGACGAATCCCCAATTCCGACGACTACGTCCGTCGAATTCGAGTTTGTTACTCTTACCGAGCCGATCTCTCCGGGAAATAACGCGACCGAGAAGAGTGTTGAAGGACAAACCTTCGAGGAACAAACAATACCTTCTAGGACAACGACAATTCAAAATTCATCCGCGATGGATAATTCGACGGAGAACGCAATCACCGCGATGAAACCGGAGGAATTTACTGAACTTCCAGTAACAACCGAAGACGGAACTCCAACGACGGATCAAATGTCGGATATGCACCACAACGGAACTACCAGAGGTCCTACAGTTATTCAGATTACTACTGAAAGTCAGAATAATCTAACGGAGAGGAACGAAGTTACTGTAAGCGGTATCGATTTCACCAGTGCCGCTCCCGGTAATGTCACGAGAGCTTCCGGCGTTACCGAGGATCCTTCAAAATCTAAGGATTCAAGTTTTGATGCGAACATCACCGAGACGTCCGCCCCAGGCGCAACGGAACTTCCACCGAATACGAGTGTCAGGATAACGATGAATGTCACTAAACGTCCTTCGGTTACGAGTACTTTGGAGCCAATAATATTCTGGAGTACAATGAGTTACACGGAATCACCCGAAGAAGAGATAACGGAAAACATTCCAACTCCGTCGCCAGACGAGGTCACGTTACTAGTTAAAATAATCATCGAAGGTACCTTACACGAGGTCTGTCCTCGGTTATCGGATCTAAGGAAAGCGCTCGCGGATGTCCTCAGAGATGGACTGAACAAGTGAGTTGATTTGCAAAATTTTCTTTAATTTAATTTATATTTTTATGAACTATAGTGTTATTATACGTTTAACTATTATTTATTTAAGATATTATTGCGTAAATGTATTATATATACATGTAACATATGAACATTTTTTATGTATTTAGGTATTTAAATCTTTCATAGTCAATACGTAATTTTTATATTATAAACCTTTATACATTGCAGATCAATTAAAATATAAATCTTGTGCTTGAATAGATAATGCATGTAACGGTATAATAATACTAATAAGTAATAATGAATTAATAGTTATTCAAAAATATGTGAATTTATAGAGAACATAAAAAAGTGTAGATTAATATAAAATGCCTTGAATTCTTTTCTTCGCAAAAGTATTCAAGCTTTATTTACCTGTATCAATGACGATAAAAATTTGAATAATATGAAGGAAAGATTTAATTGTATAAAAATGCACTTGTCACATATTATAAAGTGTGGAATACTTTATTTTGCAGACCTGTACAGCCACAACAAATTATGATTCATCAAAACCCTTGCCAGGAGCAGAACGCGTTACCGACACCCACAGACGTTTCTCTAATCTCCATCCTGATTTACGTTATCGATGAGAACGGCAAGTTCGACGCCGCTATGACAAAGATTCTACCAAGTTTATACAAGGTGTCTCCCAACTTCCCAGTGAGAGTAAGTTGAAAACGGCGGAGAAGGTCGGGCGCGGATTAAAACACTGGCTGTCGACGTCAGCAAAAGTTCACAGTCCATTATAACTCTTGCTTCGGCACGTCTCGTGAAAATGTAGTCTCCCTGATTATTAACTTGGAATCGTTCATCACTCGCGAGTAATTTCCAATTATCATTCAAAATGTTTCTATGAAGCGCTCCTTCTCCGTTAGCTTTCTCTATTAATCGATTGCTGCCATATTGAAGTAATTGATGTTACAATCAGTAATAATAATCGAAAAAGTATCTCTATAAAATTTTCTTATAAATTTAAATTTTCTTAGATCATTCATTCTTTCTAGATACATAAATTTGTCCTGGTATCGGAAACGGATTCCGGAAACGCAATAGCAGTCGTCGTGGTCTCCTCTGTAGCCTTTATCTGCTTGCTTCTTTTAGCTGGCCTCCTGGTAAGTGTTTTTGTAATTATAAATATTTAGTAATTTCAGAGATATTTATGTATCGTATTGTTTAATTCATAAGGAACATTGATGCTTGAATTAGTCTTTTCGCGTTCACAAATACGTCGTACACGCAAAATAAAAAACGGCGAAGAAATTGTTCAGCGTGTCATGTGAGATTAATTCAATTTCTCAGTCAATCTCAATTAAAAATAATATAACATCCATATGTTATAATTTCGCATTCAACAATGTACTTGTAAAACACATACAATCATTATTTTAAACATGTACAATACATGTGTACTCTCTTTGAAATTTTTAGAATAAATCTTACTCTAAAGAGTAAACTCTCAATCTTAAAGATTAAAAATTGAGCTATTTTTTTAATAAATGACTTAATTTTCAATCTTTAAAATAAAGTTTCTAAAGAATGTAAAGAGTATAGTATAGTACATGCTTAAGCAAGTTTTTTTTTACCATAACAATTATTTATATCACTACAATTCTCATATTGAACTGATCAATTAGCAATATAAACAGATGCCATTCTAAAAAAAAAGATTATCAAAATTTAATTTAAAAATTGACGAAAATTGTAATGACTCGTTAGTTTTTAAATAATAATAGCAATAATGAGTTTTTTCTAAATCACATAACGAGTAACATAACAAGTTACTTTTATAAAATAATTTCCCCAACCGCGAAGTTATGTTACTTTTTGTCGGTGTCGACTGTATTTTTTTCGACGAAGCGACCTAATTGCGAGAATTTTCAAGCTTGAGTGTTCTTCCGCAAGTCCTCTCCTATCTCGTTCTTTTTAAATTATGAATGTATGTCGCATGCGTATTTGTGCCGTGTACTTCTCACGTATCACGCGACGTGTTACTGAGGAATCGAAGCAGGAAATACTAATATTTCAAGATGTCAGCTGCGCAGGTCCGCGAAAATCTCTGCTCGCTGACGTAGTCTGCTGCTAAGTCGCGCTTACATGGATAAACCTCTGTTCACGGAAGGTTTACATTACGCGTGTCGGTTCGTCACCGTCCATCTGTCCACACTCATAATTCTCTTCCAGTGTACGTAATACGCTCATGATAACATGTCTGTGTATATGTTTTCACCTGAGAGGTGAAAGAGACGATGTTCTCTTCTTCGTCGCGCGGAATGACGAAGATAATGCGCGATGCACGCGTAATGCCTCGTGTGGCACGAACGAGTTTTTTTTCCTTTTACGATAACGACAGCTTATTATATGCTTCTTTTTTTCAGTCGCTTTTATGATATTTATAATAATATGCATGCATATGTTACGACCCACATCAAATGCAAGTTGATTGTTTCACGAGAAATCGAAAGATTTGCAGATTATACTTGTGTAAAAGATATTTTATTTCTGTGAGCACAGAAAACAATTTAATTCTTTTAGATGTTAACAACATCGTTAATTGCGAAAAATAATGGTTACATTAATACTTCTTATTACATTACATAATTTTAATGTTGAAAATATGTTCTCTATTATTTATATTTATTATATTTATCTTGATATAATAGCGACGCTACATCAAGATTCGCTGTCTAAAGCGTTTTCTCCGGTCCTCAGTAACATTAATACCGTACTTGCACAGCAATTAATTTTAATGAATGTATAATACAGTCATATAACGCTGAATAGAATTTGAACTAACGAAACTTAACAAATCAATTAATATAGAAGAGAAAGAAAATTATCTACTGCGCGGCGTTAGGAAATGCAAACGGTATTATAGAGTATCTTATTTTCGAAACTGTACTCTCGTAATTATAAATGCAATCTTTCTTAATGAGTAGACTTGATAACTTCATTAAATAAACAAGTTTAGCGTCGAAAACGTGTTCAACGTCGCGAAAAAATCAAATGCGTTTTTAGAAAGCTTATAATTTTCAGATATATTTATTATGCATTTAAATGTATTAATGTAAACGCAAGAATAATACTCTGGCGTGGACTGTTGCTACTTTTTATTATATTTAAATTATAATTTTTATTCAATTATACAAATCGGCAATATATATCGTAAAATATTAAAAATAATGATTATATATATATAATGTATGGAACATGAGTAATAACGATAATATGATATTACATTACGGCATTAAAATTGATGCGGTTTATTTTGAAATACGCTTATCAAACCGCGCAGTCATGTGAGGAAATACTACGTGTATTTACAGCAACGTATAATTAACGATAAGAAAATTGGCGTCGCGTCTTCTTGCCGGAAGAAATGAAATGTCATTCGCACACACGGTTGTCCAACCTTGAATAGTTGATTAGATCGACCAGCAAACGGCGTTCCACACTTCATCAGCGTCGCTGCACCGTGTTTCTTGCCGTGTCTTTGTTATGCATGCGAATGACGATGTTGAAATGGCCCGTCTGCATGTGTGTTCCGAATACATTATTCTATTTCGCTGACTGTCGCGAGATTTCCTCAATCTCTTTTTAGATATGTCGGTCATGTGGCGTAATTGGTAGTACAGGTGTCGTTGCTTAATTGCAATGAAAGGGACTTATCGGAACGCATGATTTACAATTATAATTGATCGTTGTATTTAAAGTATGCTGACGAGCATCATTATAATCTTGCTAAATTTAGTTTTATTTGCTCTCTTTTATAAATTCCATTTAGGAAAAGAAATGGAATAACGTAATGTCATTTGCATTAATTGATCTCTCTGATAGTAAATTTCTTATTATCTTTTTTGTCTTATTAAGGATTAAATAAAAATCATAAGTAATTGTACAATTTTCTATACTAATTTGTTTAAAGCTCCTGTTCACTCATCAATTCTATGCGTCACTCAACTTGCGACGTTAGAAATAAGAAAATACACAATAAAAATTCTTGCAAAATTTTAATTTCAAAATATGTTTTAATGAAACAATAATTGTAATTGATAGAATCGCACGCTTGCAAAATATACCAAAAATTCTTCTTTTGTTTCATTAATTAATATAAATAATCATATATTTGGAAACGAATTATGCTCACATCAAAAACGAAATGAGCAATATAAACTTTAATAAATTGTTAAATTAATGATTTATAATATTTAATGAATACGATTTAATAATATAATTAAATATGATTTAATTTCTTCTAGAAAAAAGTTATAGATTTTGATATGCTTTATAAGTCTTATTCTATATTGATTGTTCAATTAAAAACTATTTTTATTCAAATATATAACTTGTAATAATTCTTATCAAGTGTTTTTTCGCTTCTGATGTCACAATCTAAGTAATGACGAGTAAACAAGAGCTTTAAATCGAAAGTTATAGCTTGTGGTGTACCTTTATTGTTTGTAAATATATTTTGCACGCTGGCAAACTGCAGTTTGTGATTCAATGCATGGCTACTAAATTAACCGTCATCGCATTTCGGGATATCGTGAGTATTTGTAGACGAGTTATACTGTTACGGAGCAGAATTGCAAATAGCAGAAGGTCGCTACATCGGCTTTTGCTTTTCGTTTCGTTGAACGTAACGGCCGCTAACCTTAGCTGTAACTATACTTGCAGTTCATAATGAGAAAGAGGCAAACGAGGTTCAATTACGGAGAACGGTGCCGGCCAGTATCCTTGGACGCCTACAGCCTCGACAGCGTTTCGGCGTACAATAGCGTAAGACGCAAAGGCGCGGTAAGATCCTCCAAGAGAAGTTACGGCAATCCGACTTTTGAAGATTCGGTAAGTTCGATAAGATTAATCATAAACCCCCTCCTCCGTTTTTAAGACTGAATTTTTCATTTATACTATTTATAGGAATTTAATCTTGTGTTTAAATGACGATTTTATTAGGTATACTACATCAAAAATATTTTGATCCATATGTATACCTTAGCTATATGTTACAAATTAAATATACGTCATATAAATTAATTTCAAAATATTTACTTATAAAAAATTTAAACTAGCTTAATTAACAATGATGAATAATTTTCTTTTTTCAATAGACATTATTTTAACATTTTAAGAACATAATGTAATCAATGCATTTTTTTTGTTAACGTAGTTATATATTTTCTATTATATTACAGCAGTAATTTTTCTTTCCTTATAGCTGTTACGCGATACGAAACTATAAATCTAAATTAATTGTTCAGGTAAAAAAGAACAATAATACCTCTGTCCAAATAGTAAAGTGATAGCATCAGGGTTGGGTAAGTTAATGTTTTTTTTTTAACTGAATAAAGAGTTAAAGTTAATGGCTTTACAAAATTAATAAAGTTAAGTTAAAAGTTGAAGGAATAAAAAATTAACTTAACGTAAGTTAAGTCAATATTGAATTAACTTAAGTTGAAAAAAAAGTTAATTTCGAAAAAAATTATTTTTTATATCAAAATGTCTTAATTTTTCTTAAAATGAGATTAAATAACTACATAAACCTAATAATATAGATTATTAGGTTTACTTTTTAATAAGTCTTAGCCATAAGAAATTGATCAATTAAATTCGAATACGAGAAGAATATTTGACTGTAATTAGTCAATTTCTTATGACTTAAGGCTTAAAACACTTATTGTAGATCCGAACTAAGGTTTATAACATAAGGCATAACCGCATAAGTCAATTAGAGGGCTGTATTAGTATTTTAAGATATTCCTTGAGATTTAGACTATGTTCGGACTATGGATTCCGACCTTAGTCTTATTATATCTTATTATTTTTCTAAGATATTTAAAAAACAAAAAAATTTTTTAACTTAAAAAAAAGTTATAAAGTTAACGTTTAAAAGTAACTTAGTTAAGTTAAAATTTAATGCATTTAAAATTAACTAAGTTAAGTTAAAAAAGTTATTAACTTTTAACTTTTTTTTTAACTTTTAACGTTTTTTAACTAGTTACTACCCAACCCTGGATAGCATATATTAATAATTTGATTTAGTTGTTTAATAGATTGAATCGGCACATTACAGTAAATTAACTATATTGCTTTGTTTGATTTTTGCTGTTAGATTGCCGTTAGATTCTTGCTAGAATTCTGCTAACATTATTAAATATAGTATAGCAACTTTTGCGTAAATTCTTTCCGTAAACTATAATTTGGAACACAAATTTAACTTTATCTATGGACAACATGTACTTTTGTTTTATTAAAATGTATCGTTAAACCATTATCTTGGAAGCATTATAGATGTACATTTGTAATAATAATTAGTTTTTAACCAATTAATTCCGTAAGGAATTATTTGATATGTCTACCAAAAATAATTTCTTAATGTTGATGTTATAAATTTAATTATGAATGCAATTATTATAAAAAGGAAAAAAATTGTATTATGATATTTAATATTATATATACATATATGTATATATATACATATATGATTATTAATATTCAAAAACTGTATTTCAATTTTAAATGTGTGTGTGTGTGTGTGTGTGTGTGTGTGTTGAAACATAGTTTTGATTTATTACATTTTACCAAATGCTTCATATTTCAAGATTAAATTTTTCCATTTAATACATTTTTCTGCTCAATTAAATTTGAAAAATTACCATATAAGATATAAGAAATATTATAAAATATATTTTGGCTAAAATTTCATTATAACTCAACAATCAAACCTATTTATTTAATGTATACCTTTCTATTTGATTAAATTTAGAAAATTAGCATATTCAAAATATTTTTTAATCGATATCGAGTGATTTCCCATGAAAGCGCTCGATCAAAGGAAGTGAGGCAACGCTCTTTCCCTCCACGAACGAAGAGCTACGAGTAAAGCTTTCTATGAAAGGTATTCTCTTATTTCAGAGCGCCATTCCCTCCCATCCTCTCAACTTTGCCGGGCTTTCATCTTTCTGTAACGACGTTAACGCAATCAACGAGGAGTTCGCGGGCGTACCCCAGGTTTCAGCGAAGATAGACGAGCTGCCCCCAGGCGCGGAGGTGAAGAATAGATACGCGAACGTGATTCCGCTTCCAGAGACGAGGGTGCCGTTACAGAGACTGAACAATGACGCCTTAACCGAATACATTAATGCTAGCTATGTGCGGGTAAGTTTCGTTCGAGCTGATTTCACATATCTCTCGTTTCGTATCGTGTGATTCACAAGGGACGTCATTGTCACTGCACACGCGTTATTGCTGTTGAAGACTATACTTCCCCGGCATTTTCGACGAAACATGAAGCTATAATTCACGCTCGAATTCGAACATGTTTTACAATTATCCGGAATTTCGACAGTGAGTTCACGTTTCCCCGTGTAAGGTCATCTTGCATCTACAATAGTCGTATAAGCTCGTATGCATATTGCATGTCGCATGCTTGCAGGGATTGCCAATCTGATGCGTCAATTTTATTTTATAGTATCAGATTATTATAGTATCAGATTGACTATCACATCTAACGATCGAACTTGCGACCTGCGACACACTGTGCGACTGTTATAGATAATCCTAATACGGATTAATTAATTTGCGAATCAATAACGAGTAGTCTCGAATGAAAAACAAATGACGATCTATTTATAACTTACGCCCGTCTCGATTTTACATCCATGGGAGAATTGCACGATTATCTATATCATTAGGATAATAAGGGTGTTTATATGCGAGATCAGATTACGTCAGTCACGTCATACAGAGAACGCTATAAAGTGCTAAAGTGTAGCAAAGCGGTTTTCGCGGTGCCGTGGGAAAGAAATATTGCGTAATACGCATCACCAGGAAAGTGAGTGCATTGTATCGCGCAAGCTGGGAACTTAGACACGGAAGCGTTAGGAATTGTCTGCGAAGTATAACTATAGCTTGTCTTTCATAGCCTTAATAGTTTCACAAAATGGGGTCAAAGAGGTACAAAGGCTAATCATCTCGCGTGCGCAAGGTTATCTGAAATACTCGTAAGTACATTCGTTTTGAAATATACGTGCCTTCTTCGCGCATTTTAAGGGAATCACACGAAAGAACGTTGCTATTTTGATGATTTCGAAGATATTTTGCTAAAATATTTGAAAACTAGATAAAGATTTGAAAATAATAATTCATCATCAAAATTGAAGAACAATCGAACTAATTGTTAGAATGTCGAAACTTTTTGCAGCATTGCTTGCGATGCTTGAATTTCTTACATAATTATTTTGATGATCTAATTAAATTTTTAAATACTTTAGCAAAGTCGTTCGTTTTATGCAGAATCTGAGAAACTAAGTATATGCGTCTTTGGATGTGCTTGGATGTACGGTGCTTGCTAAAAATCTGTAGTTCACGTTATATATATATATATATTATAGTTTTTTAGTGCTGGTAGAGTGTATATATCCGAACACAATCTAAAGGAAATTATAATGACATTGTAAAACGAAGATTTTTATATACCGTCTCTCGTTATTAAAAATATATAATGAAATATATTTTCTATAATACGTAACGAAGTAAAACTGAATACTGACACAATTGACAATCAAAAACTTCACAAAGTCCATTTTGGACGACCTATATACGGTAGAATTCTAGACAGAATTCTATTTACTCACAGTATATACAGATAGATTGTTAAAATCAAGTCTATATACCTACAATATATATAGATAGATTGTTAAAAGTGTCTTCGATATTGTTACGATTATATTTAGGATAACTTTTGATAATATTAAAATAAGAAATTGAAATTGTTTTTGATTTGTAGATTTGTGCTGGAGGTTGCTTTTCTAAAATTTTTGCTTAGTTTATTTTTCAGCAATATCCCTTCGATTCCAGGGATGGGAAAGTTACTTTGTAAACGTAATTAATTACAGTTACAGTTTTTCTCTTTCAAAAAGTAATTAATTACCGTTACGAGTTATTGACTTCGAAAAGTAATTCGTTACAGTTACAGCTACTGAAAAAGTAACTTTAAGTTACTTTTAAGTTACAATATAATCAATATAATGTTGTAATCAATATAAATTTAAGGCTAATAAGCCATTTTTCTTTGAGATAGGCCTCCACGCTCTTACTAGACAGACTGTACTTTTGAGTTACTTTTTTTCCATCGGAATTTTTACTAGTAGCATTGATTAAAGGGCTGCATTCAGAAACGTTACCCGACTGCCTTCGTGTATCGTTTTACCCTTGTTTTTCATCTAATATTAAACAAGGATAATACACGGGATCATCAGAATAATGCAGTCTAAGCAATTAAAAAAAAAGACTGGTTTACATTTACATGTTATACAATTTTATTTAAAAAAAATAAAATTGTGTATAGTAAAGACGTTTTTCGTTAAAGTAATATAAACACATATGAATATGAAAGTATACATGTAGGTATATATACAATGTTTTTTGTAAAAAAAATTCTTTTTATATTCTGCTAAAAGTTGCAAATAAATTCCATCACTAATCCAAAATGGATTATGTGATTGCGTTCAGAGACGGCTTAGTGGTCAGGTGCATTTAGTACTACAACCGTTCACTGAGCGCTCTTGCATTTGATTGGCGGATTCCATTAGTTTCAAAAATATAGACCAAACAGGTACATGAGTTCATTGAATACTTTAATTAAATTTCTTTCTTCTGATTAATCAAATGTTTCGAAGTATTTGTAGCACCAAGTGGATACTACCGCACACTAAATTGACAAATAAATTTAAAATATATAAAATAACTATGAAAGTAACTATTAAATAAGTTAGTAGTTACTTAAAAGATGTAACTAAGTTAAGTTATTTATTATAGATGGAAAGAAAGTAACGAAGTTAAGTTGCAGTTGCTGAAAAAAAGTAACTCGTTACAAGTAACGAGTTACTTCCCATTCCTGTTCAGTTCAAAAGTATAAAGTTTTACTTTACTGTATTTGAAATATTTATTTATTGATTTTTAGAATTCATATGTGTGTCTGCATTGATTAAATTTGTTTTATAGCAATGTTCAAAACGCATCGCGATTGTTTAGCGCACAAATAGTACTTTGATAGAGACAATCGGTAATAATATAGTAACATACTCGAAGAAAAACTTGCGCATATGTGTTTCTCAACCTCTTTTGTTACCTAAATCGCAAGGAGATGTCGCGAATGTATTATTATGTGTACGGTGTCGTAACAATTTACGTGACAATTTTATCCAATTTTTTGCTCCGGCCGAGCAATTTTCAATTTATCGCTCATGAAGTTTTCTTGTTTGAGAAACGAAAGTCCAGAAAAAAAGTATATAAACGCAAGAATGATGTCTTTTCCTTCTCCTAAGTGTCCTGCGGTGCCTAGCACCCTAAGGATATAGCGAGCCCATTTATCTCGTATGCGTTAAGACGCTTTTACGGAAGATTCGACAGCAACGGGCAAGACTTCCATTAGGAACGAATCGATCGATCGATAAGCGTATATAGCAGTATCGCTTCCGCCTTCGAATTGCTTCATATCGTGAATCGAGCTAGCATTCGTAACGTTTCTACCTTGTATATAGTATACGTCTTGCAATTACGGAACGTATATATACATGATCAATTAATGCGCGCCGAATGTGGTCGATGAAACGGAGTCTGACGTGTAATTAATTTCGCTCGATTCTCGATAAGGTCGCGTAATATTCTGGAGATACAATTGCACATCTAAATAGAGCACGATTGGTCACTTGACAATTATCTATACATAAATAGAAAAAAATATTAAAATAAATTTATCAAAGAAACATAATTCTATACTAGCTGATTTTCTAAAAATATAATGTTGTTAGTTACGACTTTCCACGAACATGTCCCGCATTGTTAGATTAATTAGAGCAAATATAATTAATAAAATATGAATTTTAATTTAAAACAATAAAATAAATAATATGAGATATGTTTTAGTTTTCAAACAAAATTCAGTTGATAAAAAAGTATTTTACATTTTAATTGATAATATTTTATGTGCAACAGATTATACATTATATATATTAATATTAATAATTTAAATAAAAAATTAATTTAATTTTTTATATTTTCTTATTTCTTAACATATTTGATGGAAAGGATAACATCATATACTTGATACAAACAGTGTATTTAATTTTATTAGAAAATATTTAGAAATTATTGTATGTATTATTTGTATGAAAGAACAATTTTGCTAAAGTAAAATATTTTGCTAAATCTAAAAATTTAATTAGATATAGATCTAAAAATAACTCTGCTAAATTATCAAAATTTTTTGCAGCATTTTGATAGTCCAACAAAATTATTTTCAGATATGTATTTAGCTAAATTTTTTAATATAACATTTCAATACAATTGTTCTTTCTACATAGAATCTCAATTTGGATGTGATTTATTAAAAACACTCGCTAATTTTTCAGGGACCTAAAAATGCTACAAAGTATTATATCGCATGCCAAGCGCCAATAGAATCGACTGTTATTGACTTTTGGCGAATGATTTGGGAGCAGCAGTCCAAAGTAATCATCATGCTGACTGATCTTGTTGAGAATGAAGTAGAGAAGTGTACGGAGTACATTCCACCTTCAGAGATAACAGACTGTCATCGCCTTTATGGTGATTTCCAAGTTACTCTGAAAAAGCGAGAAACCAAGGAGAAGTACGCTATCTCTACACTTCACCTGAAGGTAAAGAATATTCTTAATTGTAACATATAATATAAAACTATAATGAAGTTTTATTTTTAAAAGGTAGGAATTTTTTAATCTCACAGAGAGAGAGAGGAGATGCTTTTTCTTTTTGTTTCTCTCTCTCTCTTTCAATAAAATTTATTACTATACAGTCTTGGCCAAATATATTAGGCATGTTATTAAGCTTATGTACAGTTTTAATTGAAATATACCTACTGGCTGTAACCGTGCTGCCGAATGCAATCTGCAAGAATTGATTAATCACAATCGAGTATTCTCCTCTCATTCGACTGTAAGCACTACCTAATATTTTTTGAAATACTCAACTATGATTAGTCAGTTCTTTCATATTACGGCAGTAGGTACAATTACGGTCGGTATAAACGCTCCTTTATTCTCTGTTTCGTAGATAAATGCCTAACATCTTTGGCCAAAGCTGTATTTTATTCCTTGTTTTAAAATAAGACATTCTTTCAGTACACTTTAATGGCTTCTCGTCTTGTAAACGTTCATTGCTAACGCATATAATTTTGTAAAATCAGTTACATTTTCTTAATTATTTTATTATTGATTCGCTTCAGACTAATTAATTAAATATCTGCTACAAAATAATATATTCTTTGTGAAAGGTATAATATACTGTAAAAGATCTCTGTAGAAATAGTATCCAAATATATAGCTCTAATAATATCTGTAGTAGTATAAGCTATAATCGTAGCGGTTAAAACGTTCAATGATTTCGTGGCGACTTTCTATCAAGTGCAAGTAATTAATTTTTTTTGCAGAACCTGGAGAACAATACGTTTCGAGAGGTATTCCACATCTGGTATCTATGGCCAGTGAGTGGCGTCCAATCAGACGGTACAGGCCTAATAGCGGTGCTTCTCGAGGCGAGAGCACTCCAGAGAGGTGGTCCCGGGCCCATCGTGGTCCATTGTAGTCCTGGCACAGGACGTACTGGTACGCTAATAGCCCTCGACCTAGGAATTAGACAATATGAAATTACGAGGACCGTGGATGTGCCGAGAGTCGTTTACACTATCAGGAGAGATCGGGCTGGCGCAGTTCAAACCAAGGAACAGTATGCTTTCATATACAAGGTGATAATCGACTCTATCAATCGCTACACGAGGACGTTAAAACAAGAATGCTTATCTTCCTCAAAACTAATTTAACTACACGAATTAATAGTTTATTTGATATATATAGTTTATTTTTACGTTAAAAGTATAAAACATGACACTTACAAAAAAATAAATAAAATTAAGAGATTTTATATAAAAAAAAGTATAATCGTTTCAGTCATATAAATGAAACTAATAAGTATAAAAAAGTATAAGAAAAAATATTAAAGACAATGTTTGTTATTTGGTTTATAAACTGTTATAAGTTTATAAACTTATATGCTAAGAATTTATAAAAGCGCAAAAATTATATCCGTTATAAATTTATAAATCAAATTTATAAGTTATAATTGTACAGTTTGTTTGAAATTTTAAATTTCTAAAATTATATCAAAAGAAAAATTTAAATTAATTTATGTACAATCAGATTTAAGAACGTGATGTTATCACACAATCTGATACGAATAGTCTAAAATAGATTTTTCTTTTTTAAAGGCACTAAACTTGTACGCGACAAAACTAGCCGGCGGTGTGCTAGAATCAACATGAAGTAAAAATTCTGAAGATTTGCGAAAAAACGGACGTCAATTCACGAGAACTATTTGGTTAGCGAACCAAAGTAAACAATAGAATGTACATGAAATCAGAAGGAACCTTTATCCAAAAAGGTACGGATGGATGAGCAGGTTGTTGACTGAAGAAAATAAACTACGAAGTTGCCAAATGTCTGATTTAAGAAGATATTCTAATATCCTTAAGAAGAGAGAGAGGAGAGAAAAAGGAACTTTGTCGAAACTGAAAGACAAAATGGTGATCACAAAATAAATATAAAACAGGGTGGATGTGTATTTTGTTAGAATGCTGAATGTTACGTAATGTGGAATGATATGTGAAGATTTGTCGGAAAAGCTAAATGTTACCTACAGCGTGAAATTAATTTGTGATATGTGAACTCTTAGATTATCTGTAAGTTTATTAATGTTGACGCAATTGATTTCTTTGCCGATTTGTAGTTTTGTATAGAATTTTAGGGATTCCAAAGACCTCTTTCTTTTTTCTAGAAGAGAAGTTTTTGTTACTCTTCATAAATAGACCAATAGAACAGATATATTTAAAATATATTAAATTTGCGTGTGTATATATATATATATGTATATATATATATACACACACACGTAAAATACTTTCTTAATCTTAATTAAAATGCTTACATAGCAAAAGTAAATAAAATTTAACTTTACTATTATTTATATATACATATACAAATCGATAATTAAAAATTTTTTTAATTCTTTAAACTTAAACAACGGTACTATTTCTGGATATCCCTAAGATTATGATAAAATGCGTTGATATTATTATTTGCTTAATGTGACTTGCAATGTAGATGAAACATTAAAGTTCAAAACTGGAGAAGAGATGAGTTCGGTTGAAATTTTAATGTTGAGATTAATAAACTATTTTTATTATATAGTAATTTTACGTGAATACGATGCAATCGAATCGCTATTAGAAAGTTTAAGCATATTTTGAAGTAATAATCAAGAATTGATTAAGATTTTGTATTCCTATTTAGAAATGAAATTTTACGACAAATTTTTTAAATAAAATAAATAAATATTTTAAGATTTAACGCATATATTTATGTATATTTATGAATTTTTAAATTTTTATTACTTAATATTTTTGACGTTATAAATCGCTTGTTTTATAATAAAATACACACTTTGTTTAAAAAAGAACTTTTTAATAGCACGTATATATAATTTAAAAATCTCAACTCATCTGAAACGACAAAAAAATCTTTTTTAATCTACATATTTATTTGTGCTGTTTATGTAAAAAAAAAAATGTCATTTTAGTAAAAACAAAGTTTGAATTTTGCTCTTCTCATTGAAAAAAAATCTAAATTTTAAACATTTTGACTTGAATCTAGAATACATAATAAAAAATACTTTTTAAATTATGTAAGGAAAACATAAAAATCGAGCAGTACTGCAGTTGTGCGTTAAATATTATACTATATATCTTCTAAATGTGAAAGGCGTAATTGTTTATGTATAATAATCGCAACACAACAATCGTTCCTTTTGTAATAATATCCAGACAGAACGATTTCTGATTATTTTCTCAAATCAGATATTTTATTGTTGTTATTGTTATTACTGTTGTTATCATTGTACAGAATATATCTCAATTCCGTGGTACGTCGCTCTCTATAATTGTAAATATGTAGAATGTAAACGATTATTCCGACAATTGCGTTGATTAATCGACTTGAGAGATTTTATTTATACATAGAAAACGTTAGTAATCGATTTTTAGGCCGAAAAGTACCAATTTAATGTTCTTATTTTGCGAGCCTAATTGTGCGGACTTGAAGCGAATGTCCGTCCACAAGTGCAATGTACTAAGTGTATTTAACAATTAGTATATATAACTATATTAGTTACTGAAGAAGTTCAGTTTGGATTATAATTTCTAATAATAATTAGGGCCAGATATTACGGAATCGACTTTAGTTTTTCGAACGTAAATGAATTATTAAGTAACTAATTAACGATCCAGTGAATTTTATTTATCTGAATATATTAAAAATTAATTTAAATTGTTTTTGGTGATATACTAAAAGATTCTTTACGCGGGCTTCAATTTTTTAATTTATCGAATAGGTGTTTAGATGTGTCATTCGTATTTACGATCAGTCGTTGTGTTCTTAAAGAATACATATAATGATATCTTTTATATAATATTATAATATAAAAGCATCACAATTAATCTTTAATGTGATCAAGTGTGTAGTGAAACTCATAAGTCAGATTTATAGAGATGCAGTTTATGTCTTTCAAATATCATACTACGAATTGTATGACTAACGCAATTATATTATCCATTATTGTATGAGTATAATATTATTCATTATTATATGAATATAATAATATCGCGATATTGCTAATTAATTTCTAACAGCGTATCTGCGATTATGTATTGTGATTTATAACTGCAATTATTGACTGAAAATAAAAATAGTAGTTATGTAAAAGCGCCCGATAATGCGATGTTGCAATATCAGTGAATTACGAAAAATTGATAAGCTAGCATTACAATTGTATCTTCAAAGAACATAACAGAATCTACAAATGATATTTATTCAATTCTTGAAGATACACGTATCTTGGACCACGATCATATTATCAAATAATGTTATGTAGAAAAATATCGGAAATTCAATGTATACAGTATTTATCGATATATTCCAAGCCAAGTCGAAATGTAAGTTCACAATCATAAGCTTATATCTTAAAATCATATAAGCTTACGTCTCCAAATATACAAATTATATTCAATCAATAAGTTTGTTGATATAATTCTTATATCTTATTTAATAATAAAATGCCTGAATAAATAATATCATACTGTAATTGTATATATATATTCTCCAGACATAATTCGTATAAAACATGAAATACACGTAGTGAATTTAATTATGTTTTATCTAAAAAATTGGTGTCATGGGAAAACTAGACTTCCTGCATTTTATATTATAAAATATTTTATACGATATAAAATGCAGGAAGTATGGTTTTTCCACGATATAAATCAATTATTACTAAAAAAAAAAAAGAAAAACATAAAATAAAAGTAATGTACAATTGTAATTTTCTTGATAAAGTTACAATATACTTTATATAATTGCAGGAAAACCAGATTTTCTGCTATCTCTCTTTCTCTCTTTCTCGCATTATATGATTTAAAATATTTTTTCTCGCACGGAATATCAGAGATCTGGGTTCGACTCCCGGCCAAGGTAATACTTTTCGCAATGAAAAATTAATTATTTACAGTTTTTAATAGGTTATTCAACATTAATAAGATCGATATAAGATGCGTAAACAGCATCAATAATTGTTAAATTGTTAATCAATTTAATTCGTGATATTACTGCTGTAGGTTATTAGTGTTGCATTTCTGTAAAAATTTCGGCGCGCAACCGAAGAATTACATTCGTAGCATATAAATTCATACACAATTATTTAGAAGCATCCGTGATCCAGCTTAGATCGCTGTGACATTGTCTCATTCGGTTTGAAATTTAACGGTCCAATAAGAATTGATATATTGTTAAAATATATATTATTCATTATTAGAAAATATTAACTACACTACGCAACAAAATTATCGCAACAAAATTTTTCATCGGAATTTTGCCATTTTTCAAATGCGCGTAACTCGGTCAATTTTCATCATATCAAGATGATTTTTTTTTTCATTTTGTAGGTAATTAACTATACTTTAAGAAAAACTTATACGAAATTAGTGCAAGTCGATGCCGCATCTCTATGTTTTGATAAAGCCCAAGCATTTTTTTTTCTTAAAAAATTTGATTGTTTGACGCGCTACCTGGAACGCCCCGATTTTTTTTTCAAAAATACCACTTAGACCATCGTAAAGTGTATTTTACAACAAACAATTTGAAAAAAAATTAGAGTCTACGATTTTTTTTGACCGAGTAATGCCATTTTGAAGTTATTCAGGCGTTTTTAACGAATATCGTGATAGAGTCAAATGCCGAAACCTCATTGTGGGGAAGAATCCGTATTGAACATTAATTTTATTATGCAGAGTGAATACTAATAAAAAAATACAGAAAAGCACAGGATATTTTATTTTCTTACTAAACATGCCTCGGTTTACTGAAATTCAATCTGCTCAAATTATGGCCCTGCTAGAGGCGGGATTGAGTCAAAGCGCCGTAGCAATAAGAATGGGTATTAATCGTTCGACGGTAACGAGTGTTTTTAATCGGTACCAAGAAACAAATTCTTATCGTCGGAGGCCTGGTCAAGGTCGACCTAGGGTAATTACGAATCGGGAGAATCGCAACATTGTCAATGAAGCTCTGCGCGTCCCAACAAGGGTTGCGCGACAAATCGGGAATGAAGATTGAATTTCAGTAAGCCGAGGCATGTTTAGTAAGAAAATAAAATATCCTGTGCTTTTCTGTATTTTTTCATTAGTACTCACTCTGCATAATAAAATTAATGTTCAATACGGATCCTTCTCCATAATGAGGTTTCGGCAGTTGACTCTATCACGATATTCGTTAAAAACGCCTGAATAACTTCAAAATGGCATTACTCGGTCAAAAAAAAATCGTAGAGACTCGAATTTTTTTTCAAATTGTTTGTTGAAAAGTACACTTTACGATGGTCTAAGTGGTATTTTTGAAAAAAAAAGATCGGGGCGATCCAGGTAGCGCGTCAATCAAATTTTTTAAGAAAAAAAATGCTTGGGTTTTATTAAAACATGGAGAGCCACATCGACTTGCACTAATTTCGTATCAAGTTTTTCTTAAAGTACAGATAATTACCTACAAAATGAAAAAAAAATCGTCTTGATACGATGAAAATTGACCGAGTTATGCGCATTTGAAGAATGGCAAAATTTCGATGAAAAATTTTGTTGCGATAATTTTGTTGCGTAGTGTATATATGGATGCGGTCTACTTGGCGCTACAAATGCTTCGAAACTTTTGCTTAACCAATCGGAAGAAAGAATTGTATTAATTAATCAATCAGAAAATACTGCGAAGCATTTGTAGTATCTCAACAAAATTACCTTTTTAAAAAAAAGGAAAAAAAGGCGCCAAATGTGTTAGCCTCACAAAATAAAATGAAATCTTTTTTAAATTGCGCCAATTATGAAAGGAATATATTTTCTTGACACATATATAACATACTTTATTTCAAAAAGTAAAAGTACAAAAAACTTGGCGCTGCTAGACCTCAAAATATACAATAATAAGATGGTTATTAAATAATTCCGAATATGAAAAATAATAAGAAATTAATAGAAAAAGAAATAAGGACTCGTTATATAAAAATAAACAATATGAAGAGTCAAGGGCGATATAAAAAAAA